GAGTCGGCATGACATGGGAACAGAAGGGAGACAGGTGGGCAGTCGATTCAGCAGACAAAAATGAATATGCATATATATATATATATATGATAATTATACTTTCATATATTAAATTTAAAGAAAAATAAAATAAAAACTTAATTTATATTTTGTTTTGAAGTAAGATCACGTCACCACAAAATAATTAAAAGTACAAATAAAAAGAACATGTAATATTACTCGAAGAAAAAACTCAAAAAAGCACCCTATCCTAGTTCATAATTGTTTGATACTTTACATTAAAAATGATTGACAATTTTTCTCTTTAACTTAATTGGGGCTTTAGGCGAATTTTATAATAAAGGACCAAAATTAAGTGCGTGCGATTTTAAAAGTCAGATGACTAAATTAAATAATGCTCTGTAGTCCACGGATCAAAACAATATTACCTCATTTAAATATCTTTGAATATTTTCAAGCCTCCACGAGACCACGACAGACGTTATGCCATGGAACCGTGTTCACCATTCATAGTGAACACGGTTCCAACGGTGTTAGTACACCGTTATCTTTTTTTTTTTTTTTTTAATTAATTGCGTGACTTTTCTTCTTTATTTTCACATTTTGCGGTTTCACTTTAATTTGAGGTGAACAAAGATTTCGGACATTCATAAATTATGAATTCATGCCTGCACATTCACTTTGGAACCATGCTTACACATTCCCGTCCGAAATCACGGACATTCATAAATTATGAATCCATGCCTGCACATTCACTTTGGAACCATGCCTACACATCCACTTTGGAACCATGAGATTATGAATTTTCTGTTATAAGATTATGAATTTTCTATTATGAGATTATGAATTTTCAGTTATGAGATTATGAATTTTCTGTTATGCGATTATGAATTTTCTTTTATGAGATTATGAATTTTCATTACATTCATAATTTCGGACATTCATAAATTATGAATTCAAGCCTGCACATTCACTTTGGAACCATGCCAACATATTCCCGTCCGAAATCACGGACATTCATAAATTATGAATCCATGCCTGCACATTCACTTTGGAACCATGCCTACACATTCACTTTGCAATCATGAGATTATGAATTTTCTGTTATAAGATTATGAATTTTCTGTTATGAGATTATGAATTTTCTGTTGTGAGATTATGAATTTTCTGTTATGCGATTATGAATTTTCTGTTATGAGATTATGAATTGTGAAAATTCATAATCTCATAACAGAAAATTCATAATTTGATCAAACGCGCGCCGTTAACTCCACATCCGCGAATTTTTTTTTTTTTTGCCTAAAAACGACATCGTTTTGCCTTGTGTTAACCATTCTCAGTGAACACGATTCCATGGCATAATTTGCCAGACCACGACTACGTGACTAACAACAACAATAAGAAGAAATCAAACCAGTCAATTTGTCATCTTAACACTACCTTCAAATTCGTGATCATCCTGATGAATTTCGTATGTTTTATCATACGATAGACAAACTTAGTAGCATAAAATTTGTTTTAATTACCACAATTTAAACTACTTCAATTCATCGTTTTAAATGAATACTCAGACCCGATCCTATCATTTTATAGGCTCAGGGCGTAGCAACAAAAATGGGCCCTGTATTAAATTAATATATATTTATATATTTAAAATTTAAATTAAATAAGGGAAAATACTAATGTCAAATAACTTGAAGATTCACGACTTTTTTAACAATTATAAATACACATGAAAACAATTCTAGATGTATTCATAAATTCAAAATAAGCAATAACCGCATTAGTACTTTCATAAATAAAGAATTAAAAAAATTGTACTTTTTGTCCCTAAATTTTAGGATAATTGTAGATTTCGTCCCTAAGTGTTGGTCATACTCACTTTATAAAAATGAATAAATAATTTAAAATCAAATGAGCTTATATAGAATCACATTATTATTGTTATAATAAATAATAAGTAATTTTTAATAAAAATTTATATAAATTTTTTTTTCAATAAGAGCATATCATAAAATCTTAATTATTGGAAGCAATATATAAATCAAAATACACTAAACGTGATAAAAAATATTCATAATAAAATATAATACATAATTAATTGGATAAAATAGTTTAAATAAAAAGCACATAATAAATAACACATCTTCTATATTACTATTATATTTATAAATTTTTTTCCTTTTAGTTAAATCAATTTCAAGTTTTTCTAAATTAATTTGAATACAATGATGCACAATAGGACTTCTAAACTACATTGCCTAGATAATTATTAACTAAACTATTTTTAAAATATTTTTCATAACTAAATCACAAAATATATTACAGATGCATAACTCATTATAAAATTCACAAAATAGCACATATTTTAAATATAAGTAGTAAATTGCTCAAATAAAAATAGATTCAAAATTTGATACGAATCACAAATCAATTTATATTATAAATCTCACTATAATTATAAAAAGGTACACAAAATTACAAATTAAATTTTAAATAATACAAATTTTAAATATAAATAAATTACTTAAGTTAACATTTTAATACAATATAATAATATCCTAAAGAGTAAGAGAGGAGTTTAATGTATAGAACTATTTTTTTTTATTAAAAAATTAATGCATGGAAATAGAGATGCGTGTAGTAACAGTATATATATAATAACAGGAGAGGAATCGAACCCTGGATCAATAAGATTGACAAACGACATATCTTACCAGCTCGACTAACTTTCACTTTATTAACATGAAGCTATACAAAATTATTATACGATATCTATAGTATATATAAAAGGGTATGTATAATCTGGTGGGCCCTTCCAAGCGTGGGCCCTGGGCAAGGGCCCAGCCTGCCCTTGCCCAGGGCCGGGCCTGTGAATACTAAATTAACTTTCATTAAATCGGATAGTAGTGTGTTTTGAGAACTTGTTTGCTTTGCAACTCGGTCAATCCTAACTACTAAAACTATCATCCACTTTGATGCAATGTCACTATTAACTAACTGTCCCAAAGAGGACGAGAATTCCAAGGTATATAGTAAGAGCTGTGTTATTCTGTCTTGAATTGCCTTTTGCTCCACTGAGGCATTAATGGTTTGATAAGGTCTGGTAGAAGTCAGAGAAGTATTGAAGTGAGAGCCATTTAGAATGGGTGTTGTAGATGTTGATTTTTTAAGAAGTAATAAATGATATGACCATAATCAAAATATAATTGGGATATGATATCATATTTAATTGAAATATAATTGGGACAACGGCTACCTTCATGCAAGTTGTGGGGTCTCAGGAAAAGTCTTAAATTGTTCAGAGAAAAATGGTGAAAAGGAGTGAAGCAGTGGTCAAAGCAGTGATAGGGGTTTCGAGAGTAGATTCGGAATCGGGATCGTTACTCTTAGATTGCAGAGCACTCCTTAATTAGACAGGCCAATAGCGCCCGGGTGCGCTAATTTTCTTGCTAATCTGGGTCATGTTCGTAGCTAGGCGACTATGAGGATTAATGAACCTCGGACGATCTCAAGGACCGCTTAGACCGGCCACCAGGACGCACAAAGCGTGCCGACTAGGAGGATTTTATGTATGGGAACTTGCAGGTATTACATGATTTTATCTTTATGTGTATATATATGTTTATCCTATGTTAGCCCTTTAGGCACTACAGATCCTAACTTTGTATCTGTAAACAACAATGGAATACTAAATGGACATGAACATCAGTGCCAAGAAGGAACTGCGGTTATAGGGTTCCTTAAATGCAGCAATAATAATATTCAGCAGATTGTGGGATCAAAGTAAAGACAGTGGCAAAAGTAACAAATGTATGTGAAGTGGTGCAGTGGACATTATGTGAGACAGATCTGAATATATGTTGTTCTCAACTAGATTATGTTTGAGGCACAAGAAGCTAGACAAGCTAAGGTATCATATCAAATATTGACAGATCCAATGATAGTGAATATTCTGCTCATTAATTCACTATTATATTAGTAATATAGTTATTTGTCAATCTCTTTTCTCTTAGAAAACAACTAAAGTTGTTTCTTTCTCTTGTAAGTTTTTAGTAGATCAGAAACAATTATTTTGCATCTTAAAATATCTTGCGCCCTTTGTCAATCTCTTTTCTCTTAGATTATGGGATCAAAGTTGGCCAGAAATACTAACCAATGCACCTTTGGTGGTAATTGAAAATTTTGACCCATTTTCTATCCAATATCAATGGTGGTCCGAAAAGTTGAAAAATGCCCTAAATCTTTGCCTGCATATTTTGAGGTGGTCAGAAAAATTGGTTGAAAATTGACAATTTTTCAATAGTGTTTCTATTTATAGACTCTGTTACAATGTAATATCTGATCATAACTATTCTTTCAACCTACTAAGGTTGAACCCACCACCTCTATCTTACATAAGGGAGTAACTTGGTGCCACTAAACCACAAAGTCTTCGCTACAAGTCTCTAGTTTGATCGTCATTAATCTTAAACACTGTTGCAAAAACCGCGCCTAGGCGCCGATTGCACTAGGCGCCTGGCCTCCTAGGCGGCCTAGGCGCCTTAGGCGGTCCCCAAGCGCCTAGAGGGCGCCTAGTGATTTTTTCAACATTGATCTTAAAACAAGAAATAGGTGGTATTGTGGTAATTAAATTTTGGTTACTATACATCTAATAAACCTACTTTACCCATCATGCAAAAGCACACAAATTAAAGTTCTAAGTTTTCAGTTAGTCATCCCTTAAATATTTTATTCACTAATTCAGCTGTTATTGTTGACCATAATGTACTCAAAATAGCATGCAAAACCAGGCACGTACGGTAATGTGTGGATGACATGTTCCAAATGAACCAACTACTAAATGACAACAATAGCTATTTGGTGATTTCTCCAAAGACATCATCAGACTACTGATAAAACATTCTTCCCACATAACAGATTACCTATAAAACCTTCCCTTCCACAGTGGGAAATTAATTAAGGGTCAAATATATATTTTACCTTCTCTTTACTTTATCATGCAAGACATGACACAGTCTCTCCCTCCAGGTTTCAGGTTTCATCCCACTGATGAGGAGCTCATCACTTGCTATCTCATGAAGAAGGTTGCCTCCTCTGTAGATCCAACAGCCTCCATGATTGCAGAAGCAGATATCTACAAGTTCAATCCATGGGAACTGCCTGGTGCTTCCCATTTCCTATGCCTGTTTATTTCTTCTAGTAACTCGCAGTTGATTCTTGCAAAACACAAGCTATATATGCAAAGATCAGACATTTCGTAACCACAAAGTTACAAGTTTGACTCTGTCTATTGACCTTAGCTTTTTCGTTTGAGCCAACAGCTATAAGCAACCTACACTGATTTATAATCCTTTAACAGGTAGGATCACAAGACATGGTTTAATGGTACACTCTCGAGTAGTGACTGTGAGTTTTCCTCGTCACCAAAAAAAAAAAAAAAAAAAACATTTCATGTAACTTCATGCATGCATTACATCTCTTTAATTTTTGGGTGACGTCACCTGCAACCATTACCCGAGGGTGTGTATTAGATAAATCTCACCTTACTGACCGGTTCAAACAAAGAGGACCAATAAATTAATCTGCTTGAAATCCAACTTGTAACATTATGGTTACCAAGTCAACGGTTTGAGTATTGAACGATTGTTTGTGTTGTTTTGGTTCTTCCTGTTCCAGGACGGGGCTACTTTGGAGAGAAGGAGTGGTTTTTCTTCAGTCCCCGTGACAGAAAATACCCAAATGGTCATCGTCCAAACAGAGCAGCAGCATCAGGATACTGGAAGGCCACTGGCACTGACAAACCAATACTTTCAGCTACTGCATCATCAAGATGCTTAGGAGTAAAGAAATCACTTGTGTTCTACAGAGGTCGCCCTCAAAAGGGCATAAAGACTGATTGGACTATGTGGGAATATAGGCTTCTCAATAATGGCCACCAACCTTTCAGGCAAAAGGGGTCAATGAGGGTAAGCCAATTTCTCTGATTATATCCAAATGTCACTGAAACTTCATGACAGGTAGAGCTAACTATTAATTTCCTGTTTTTGTTGTGTGTTTCAGTTGGATGATTGGGTGCTATGCCGGGTTCGAAACAAGAGCAACAATGTTGCAGAGGGGAGATTTGGAAATGGGAAAGAAGACATAACTGAGAAAATCAACCCCTCTTATTATGATCATCATTGCTATGCTGGAGGGAGTGAAGTGTTGGATGGGGTTGAGTATTTTGGTCACTTCCAAACAGGGTCCTCATCAAATCCACTAGGAATGTATGGTTCACAGGCAAACATCATGGGTGGTTCTGTGAAAGAGGCACTGGAAAATATCAAAAGAGTGCTTCTATTTGAGCCTTGCATGAACGGCCATCCCCAAATATTGAATCAAGATGGATCTGAATTCAATCCAACTAGCTAGCCTGGTTTCAATGATTGAACAATGCTTCTCAAACAAGAAACCTTAAATTCCAGACACATTGTAATATGTTGAGTGTGTGATATCCTTGATATATGAACAATCCATCTTCAATCTCACAGAGTATACTGAATACAAGAAATTTTTTTTATCTTTTATCTCAACATATTCATCTCTCTTTCTCAGTGGACACAGGGACACCATTAAACTTTTGTAATCAATGCAGACAAATCTGGATAATATAGTTAATTCCCAAGCCCCAGCCAGTATTTCTTATTCAGAGGAAGCAATCAACCAGAAAGACATGAAACAAGACAACACCCTGAATCAAACAAATGCATTTATAGAATAACTCTTAGCTTCAGGTTGTGATGTTGGCACTAATACCGTTACCGTACCCTTACAGTATGAGCTACTTCTCATGACCCCAAATTAACCAACAAAAGCCCCCGGAACTTAACTTATTTGATTCGTCCCCTGGCTTAAAAGGTCATGATTGGATGCAACAATGTAGATCCGAAACCACTGGAAACATGTATGAGAGAAAGACCCAAAGATGAGGGAAAGTCTGGATTTGATTTCTTGTGGGCATATGAAGACTAGGATTTAATGGGTGTGTTGATTGCACAACTCATAGTTTACCTCCGCAGTGACTTAGGGCCAGGCTGAGGATTAACCCTAGGATTACTTGAAGGTTTTTTTTTTTTTTTTTTTTTTTTTTTTTTTTTTCGAACCAACAAAAGCAACAACTAGATTTCAAGTTCAACCTAAGTTAAAGTCATAAGACAAAGTTTACCCTTTACACACTTTTGATAGTGGCTACGAGTTTTTCCGTCATTAAACAAAATCAAACCCTAACAATAGTCGTATAACACAATCTAACCTAATAAGTGTTGCGTATCCAAATGTTTTTGAAATTGGAGCAAAAATACTAGTCTAAATTGTCCTAACTAATCAATTTAAAACTTATGGTTACGTCAATTACCTTATTAACTTGACTAAATTGTCTCACACAATCAGATTGACATACTTATTGAACTGTAGTTATGCAAATTAGCACAATATCAATCGGTACCATAACACTATAACAGATTAACAGTTCCCAAAAATATAACAAACTGGGCTTATGTGAAAACTCATCAGTTGGAGCAAAAGTAGGACAAACCGTGCAATTTATATCCTACACCACGGCGTACATTGCACTATGCGCCCAGATGCAAAACGACGTCGTTTTAATTATTTTTTTTTTTGAAATTTTCCGCCCCAGTGAATGGCAGTAGGCTTTTCTTTAAAAAAAAAAAAACCCGCTGTTCAAGAATGTACATAATGTTATACTTGAATACACATAATGTTATACATGAATACACATAATGTTATAACAAAATATACATACTCTTTTTAAAAGATAATACACATAATCTAACATAAGACATAATAAACATAAACTTTTAACATAATACACATCAACTCTTAACATAATACACACAAATTTTCTGATTCGAATGTACATAATTGTATAAAAACAATGTACATAATTGTATAAAAAATACACATAACTGTATGAACCAATACACATAATGTTGTGAACAAATACACATAACGTTGTGAACGAATACACATAATCTCAGCAACTTCCTACCGCGTCTCCCAACACGACCCAAAAACGACGTCGTTTTGGGAGGCGCGCGGCGCACAGTACTATGTGCACCGTGGTGTAGGGTATAACGATTGGACAAACCGCGAGCGGCCCAATAGGACTATGGCCTAATTATTCTGGAAAAGAAAATAAAAGATACTCCGTATGAAAATAAAGCTTCTGAGTGGGCCCAGTAGCTTTATATCCACGCTATCACAGTGTCACTCTTATCTAATTATCAATATACCCTTACTCCACTATCCAAAAACATTATATTCTCATGGGCATATACGGTAATTCAATTTCCGACAGTACGCACTATAAAACTTCAACTCAGATCTTTCTCGTTTCTTTTCCCTCTTCTCTATTCAAATTCTCTCTCTTCGAAGCACACACCTCTGTGAAGTTCTTTACTGTAATTGAACTTTCTCTCTCTAGAAGTGACCGCGTCCGGTTGGATTCCGCCATGAGGAGGTTGTTCGGCCGAGGCTCGGCCCAAGATTCACCACCGGCGGGGTCTTCTTCACCGTCTTCGCCACCGCCATTTCCCCCGCTATCTATTAACACCACGGCTGGACCGGCGAGGCCGATCCGGTTCGTGTATTGCGACGAGAAAGGCAAATTTCAGATTGATCCAGAGGCGCTTGCGGTGCTTCAGCTCGTTAAAGAGCCTGTTGGTGTCGTAGCTGTCTGTGGTCGTGCTAGACAAGGGAAGAGCTATATATTAAACCAGGTAAACCTTAGAGAATTGGGAAAGTTTTGTTTCAGTTATTCGTTAAAGTGCGAAATCCAGGGTTTTTACTTGAGCTAGAGTTGGTTTTTAACTTAATTTGTGTAATTTTCCTTTGGTTTTATTTAGTGTGAATTGTAAAAATAGGGTTTTTTTTTTTTAATTTTTTTTTTTTATTTTTTTTATGGGTTTCCTGATTGCATTTTCGAGACTGTTTATCAACTGGCGGATTGTAGTCCGACGAGTCATTGTTATTGGGAAATCGCAATGAAATTGTTTTAGTGTCTCCACTATTATGGGGATTATAAAAATAAAATATATTTGTTGGAGAAATATTTTAGTACGTCAACTTCTAGGTTGAAATGCATTGTTTTGTTTATTTTTTGTTGCACTTTTTTAAATACTCAATCCTTTAGACTTCCTGCCAAGTGCCAATATTTCACATTTTCACCTCAATGTAGGGAGTGGCATACTCCCAGTCTTCTTGTGGCTGCTCCCTTTCAAATCTCCATTTTTTGGACTTTACAAATTGTTAACCCTGCTGATCCAGGAGCCTAGTGCTGTTGCATGGTGGGTTTCACAGCCTACAATTTTAAGTTAGGTACATTCTGAAATTGGGATATGCCCTTGGTGTCCTTTTTAATCTGGCCTGCTCTGCTGAACATCCAAGAATTGATGAGCCCCAATCATGAAAAACACGAACTTTATTGGTCATCAACTGAAATCAACAGTCCTTAGGGAGTTCGAGTTCCCAATCATTTTCATTCAATACTTTTGTTGTATTGACAGGATTCCTTTTTATCATTCTGGAGGACTATAATGGAAACAAAATTCTGATTCCTTACTAAGTCAAAGATTTTTATTATTGTAAAAAGCATAATGATCTCATAATCCAAAAGGGTTGATACATATCTCTTCCATAAACATGAAACACATCGACAAGAAAACCTTGATGGTCAATGTCTTGTATAAGGGAAGAGATTTAGGACCCATGGAATTTTTTTCGCTCTCGCCTGTGCTTCCAAGAGTTGATTAGACATTTGCCTCAGGGAAGAAATGAGAAGTAACATATTTGCAATTTAGGGAATAGGGATCCTTTTCTTCCTTTTCAGGATTGGTGAGGATATGAGGTTGCTGCCATTTCTGTTTTGGAAGTGTTGACACCATCATGATTGACCAAATGCTTGTGGTTTTTCCCTAATTGGCTTCTAAATATGATATTGGTCTTGGTCAGTTTGTAGGGAACCTTAGTACTTAGTAGCTTATGCAGTGACTTAATTCCAGCATTTAGCTACTAGGACCCTAACAATAAATGAAGTCAGAATTGTTGTCTTGGCAGCTATAACCCACACCCCGTCTTCACCCTATCCAACTGTGCTAGATAGGAGACTAACAGATGTTTTCCTGCATTTTAGCTTCTTGGGAGAAGCAGTGGATTTCATGTGGCCTCAACACATCGACCATGTACAAAAGGTCTTTGGTTGTGGAGTGCACCTGTAAGGAGAACTGCTCTTGATGGAACAGAATACAATCTTTTACTGTTAGATACTGAAGGAATCGATGCTTATGATCAAACGGTAAGGTTTTCCTTTAATATTTTTATTGTAATGCAAATATCTATTTGTGTATGACTTCGTTCAACTGCTATATTCTCTTTCTTGGGGGGGGGGGGGGGGGGGGGGGGGAATTGAGTGGGTGAGTAATTTAACTGGTTGTTGTTTCATCATGAGAATTAGCTTTTTGAAATGGAACATATTGTTTTCCTCTTCTACATAATTTCAACATTATACTTTCTGCATTTCATCATTTTTAGTACTCCATACTTCTGATTAATCTATGTGGTGTAGTGATTGGTAAATAGGAATGCATTTACTTTTTCTAAAATATTTTCAAATGCTTTATAAATATTTGTTGGTTTGTAGGGAACGTATAGCATGCAGATATTTTCCTTGGCAGTCCTCCTATCAAGCATGTTCATATATAATCAGGTCAGTGCAAACCCAACATGGATGTTATACTATGTTCAATGATGAGCTCTCTCTCTCTCTCTCTTTAATTTCTCTCTTTTTAATTTAATTTTTTTTTTTTTTTTTTTGTGCTGGTTCTTTTAGATGGGTGGTATTGATGAAGTTGCACTCGACCGGCTCTCGCTTGTTACTGAAATGAGTAAACATATTCGTGTCAGAGCTTCTGGGGGAGGGAGTTCCATATCAGAACTGGGACAATTTGCCCCAACTTTTGTCTGGCTGCTTAGGGTAATTTAGAGTTCTTTTCCTTCAATAACTGCTAAAATGTAATTCAATATTGTAAGGCAGTTGTCTCTGGTTTTGTTACTTCTGAAACCTTCCATATATTATATCTTACATTTTCTACATGCAGGATTTTTACTTGCAATTAACCGAGGATAATAGGAAAATAACACCTCGCGACTACTTGGAGCTTGCTTTGAGTCCAGTTGTAGGGTCAGAGAGAGATGTAGTTGACAAAAATAAGGTTACTTGTTTTTTCTTCACAAAAAGTTATTTTTTATAGGCTACTTTGTAAATTATATTTTTACAAACCTCTAACTTGTCATAATATTTCACTCATTGTTTGATGGACTCTTTGTTTTTAGAAGATTGATATTTGAATAACTTGAATCTAATAATTGCAGATTAGGGAGTCTATTCGTGCTCTTTTCCCTGAGAGAGAGTGCTTCACCCTTGTGCGACCTTTGAGCAATGAAAATGAGCTGCAAAGGCTTGACCAGATACCAGTCAGTTTTTTCTATCATTACACATGAACGGCTGTTACTTTATGTCTGATTCTATTATGGTAGTGTATAGTATCACCAGTACTCATGTTCTGTATTTTTACCTTTCATCTGCAGTTGGATAGGCTCCGGCCTGAATTTAAAGCTGGTCTTGATACTTTGACAAGATTTGTTTTTGAGAGGACTAGAGCGAAGCAAATTGGTTCATTGGTAATGACAGGTCCCATTTTTGCCCGTATAACCCAGTCCTTCCTGGATGCTCTAAATAATGGTGCAGTACCCACAATCACCACATCATGGCAGGTTTGTTTCACATAGCACAATGATGCTCTTTTTAATTTTCTTTTTGTTTCATATTTTTTATGCTTTCATAATATTTGCTGGAATGAGTAGCAATTTTATATCACAAACATTCTCTAACCAAAAATAGAGGAACACAGTATAATATCTATTTCACCATGATCTTGAAACAATTATTTGCCTTTAGTATGAGACTTGTTGTATTGCCCTGGAAGCTACTGTTCCTCCAATTGATGGCTTGATTGAAAATATCTCTGTACGAATTCTTTGCAGTGCCAAAGACCTTGTGTCTTTGCTTTCCAAGTTGTTCTTTCCATTAACATTGCTCCTCATCTTGTAATTTCCTCAAGTGAAGAATCATCCATTCCTCATATTCTACTGGCATGAAATTTTTTGGACTGGAATGATTCTGGTACTTTTATAGGATGTGTTTATATAGCGCCCTTGAGGCTGAATAGGATGTCAGTTTGATGGAAGATGTGGTAGTATTTTTCATGGATGTTAGAATGTTAGATCCATTTGCTCCCCTAAAATATCAATTATATTCATTTTATTCAATTAAGGTTTTTGGGTTTTAAGGTCCCACACTCCCACCCCCTCCCTTTTCTTCAGCAAAGTTTGCTAAACATTATATGCTTTGTGTTTTGTTGACTTCTGCAGAGTGTTGAGGAAGCCGAATGTCAAAGAGCTTACGATTTAGCTGCTGAAATTTACATGTCTACTTTTGATCGTTCTAAACCTCCGGAGGAAGTAAGTTTTCTTAAGTTGCATTGATTCTTTAAACTGATTGTTTTCTAATATTTTTAGTAATTGTAGGCTGCACTTCGAGAGGCACATGAATATGCAGTTCAAAAGTCATCGTCTGCATTTAATGCTACAGCTGTTGGGGCTGGACCAATCAGGCAAAAATATGAGAAGCGCCTTCAAAGTTTTGTTAAAAAGGCATTTGAGGTAGTCTTATCTAGTTATCTTACATTCTTTCCTCTTCAAGTCTCAACAAGAAATCATTTTTTGATAGATACACTCTTACCAGTCCCATGGTGATAGTATGAGATCATGCTAATTTCATTTTGGCATGTAATACAAACAAGTGTTTCAACACTGTATGAACTGATGGATTGCAAAAAATAATGACTGGTAAACATGGATCGACTTCTTCTGCTAGTCAGTCATCTTTAGATGTCTATGATGTGGCTGCAACTTCTAATGTGTAAAATATATTCATTCTTATGGGTCATTTATATGGATTATAATTGATGCAGGATATCAAACGGGATTCATTTAGTGAGGCTTATCAACAATGTTCAAATTCCATACAGGAGATGGAAAAGGATCTTAGAAAGGCTTGTCATGCTCCTGATGCAAAAATAGATAATGTGCTTAAGGTAAGTGGAAGAATAGTGATGTTGTTTATTTGCAAAAGAAAGTCGCCTAAGCTATTAATATAGGCATAATAAGTTGTTTAACTTAGGAAACTATTACATACTGCAGGTTCTGGATAATCTTTTATCAAAATATGAAGCATCATGTCATGGCCCAGAAAAATGGCGAAAACTTGTAATTTTCTTACAACAAAGGTTTGTATTGGCATTTGTTTATTAAATACTTTTAAAGGGATACTCCATTAAAGATGTTGCACTCTTTATGTTCCAGTTTGGAGGGCCCACTATTTGATCTCACCAAGAAACAAATAGATCAAATTGGAGCAGAGAAGACTTCTCTTGTGTTGAAGTGCCGATCAATTGAGGACAAGATGGGTTTGCTTAACAAACAGCTGGAAGCTAGTGAGAAGTACAAGTCTGAATACTTGAGGCGATATGAAGATGCCATCAATGACAAGAAGAAGCTTGGAGATGACTATATGAGTCGTATAACAACGTTGCAAAGTAAATGTAGCTCTCTAGAAGAGAGATGTTCAAGCCTGTCAAAAACATTGGATTCTGCCAGGCAGGAGTCTTTGGAATGGAAAAGAAAATCCGACCAGTTATTGTCAAAGCATAGAGCTGATGAAGATCAGATAAACGCAGAAATATCAATTCTTAAATCAAGAACTTCTGCTGCTGAAGCAAGAGTTGCTGCTGCCAAAGAACAAGCCCATTCTGCTCAGGAGGAAGCAGAAGAGTGGAAGAGGAAATATGAAATTGCTGTCAAGGATGTGAGAGTTGCTCTTGAGAAGGCAGCAGTTTTCCAGGAGCAGGCAAACAAGCAGACCCAATTGAGAGAAGAGGCTTTAAGGAAAGAATTTTCCATTACTCTGGCTGAGAAGGTGAAATTTCTAGCACAGTTTACTCTGTGTGTCTATCAGTGCTTTCTGTTTGTGTTTTCTAACTATGATGTTTTACTATTCTTTATATTGAACTCCAGGAAGATTATATTAAGGATAAGACATCAAAGCTTGAGCACACTGAGCAGCGGCTGACAACCCTTAGCTTGGAGTTGAAGGTGTGCATTCTTCCTTTTTGATTGAGACTATCAATCTTTTGCCCTGCACTCCTACAATGGTGTAAAACAGTTGCAGACATTCATATATGATATATCTGTATGCATGATTTCATGTTTGTTCTTGTCTATGGTTTCCTAGCTCTATACACACTTGTATACTTTGACAGGCTGCTGAAGCAAAAATTAAGAACTACGATCTTGAAGTATCATCCTTGAAGGTTGAAATGAAGGAGTTGGGCGAGAGATTAGAGAGTATTAATGCTGCTGCACAGTCATTTGAGAGAGAGGCTCGAATTCTAGAACAGGAAAAAGTTCATCTGCAACAGAAATACCAATCTGAATTTGATAGATTTGAGGAAGTCCAGGAAAGGTGCAAATTAGCTGAAAGAGAGGCGAAGAGATTAACTGAATTTGCTGATAAAGCAAGAGCTGAAGCAGCTCTGGCTCACAAAGAAAGGAGTGAGGCTCAGCGGTTGGCAATGGAACGATTGGCTCAAATTGAGAGGGCTGAGAGACTCATTGAGAATCTGGAGAGACAAAAAGCTGACCTGACCGATGAAGTATCAAGGCACAGCGCAGCAGAGGTGGATGCTCAGTCGAAAGTTGCAATGCTTGAAGGTAGAGTTGAGGAAAGGGAAAAGGAGATGGAGTCACTACTGAAATCAAACAATGAACAGAGGGCCACTACAGTTCAAGTCCTCGAGAGACTGCTGGAGACGGAGCGTGCTGCACGTTCTGAAGCAAGCAATAGGGCGGAACTTCTGTCTGTTCAATTACAAGCTACACAAGGAAAGTTAGATCTCCTTCAGCAACAGATGACTAGAGTCCGTCTAAATGAAACAGCATTAGATAGTAAGCTGAGAACAGCTTCCATTGGGAAACGTGCAAGAGTAGATGAGTATGAAACAGGTGTGGAATCCGTACATGATCTTGGGACTAATGACGGAGTAAGAAGGGGGAATAAGAGGTACAAAAGCACTACTAGTCCCCTGAAGATGGCCTCACCAGAAGACGGTGGTTCAGTTTATAGGGGTGACGATGACAGTCAAAGCCAACAGACAAATTCAGGAGGGGACTACACAAGGTTCACAGTGCTAAAACTCAAACAGGAGCTCACAAAGCATAACTTTGGTGCCCAGCTACTCCAATTGAAGAATCCAAACAAGAAAGACATTCTTGCACTCTACGAGAAATGTGTCCTCCAGAAGTCATAATAGGTTCTTTAGGTTTTGGTGAGAGCTGTGCAGAAAGCTTGTATGTAGTTTACTAGTTACTTCATCATGATGCATATACAAATTACAAATTTGAACAGAGGGTGGTTCTTTCTGGTAAGTATCCTTGTTGTTCAGTGTTGGATTGTATTCTTTTTAGGTATGCGAGTGGGTAGGTTAAATATTTGCAGGTTAAAAGTTAGAAGAAAAAGCAACGACTTTTGGGAAGGTCGTAATGCTTGTCGGGGTTTGTTAGTTATGTGTTCCTTTTCTGTCTCACCAATTGTGTTTAATTGGTTGTGACAGTAAAAGATTTTCATGATTTACAGTATGTTGTAAATGAAGCAGTCTGAGTCTTCTTCATCAACATCCTCAATTTATTCTATTGTTGAAAACAGAAGCTTCTGACATTATATTTGGTCTGTAGTCTGTAAATGCTTTGCTTTAACCATTATATTGTCAAGGTTGATTAAGGCCCTGTTTGATAAAATGGCTGTTAGCTATTAGCTGATTGTTTAATTAGAGGGTATAAATAGTTGATAACATTAGCTGATTGTAGAAAAGTGTTTGGTAAATTAGCTGTTAGCTGATAGCTGTTTGGTATAATTTATTTTTTAAAAAAATTAATTGAAAAAGTTGCTTGGAGTATCATTTTGAATTTTAGTCTTTTGGAGTTGCAAAAAGCTAATTAACCAAACATTTATATTGATATTTTAATTAAATCAAACAATTAATAGTGGTCAAATAAGTCAAAATTAACCTATAGGCCAATTTTTTACCAAATAGGGCCTAAGTCAGCAACTTTAGGTGATAATTAAAGACTAAATGTGCAATTAAGAACAGAAATAACTATTATGCTTTCTAGTTGAAAATGAATGTAAACAACCTAAAGTGTCTAAAACTATCATGAATTTCTGCTAAAATTAATCATATATATAGTATAAACAAATTAATGAACTAAACATAATTGAATAAGTAATTAGATATATTGAAAAGATCAGTATAACTATATGGTATACAGTGTTCTTGGTACTTCTGAATTACAGTATAAATTTACTCACTCACAATCATCTTTACCTACTACCTATCAATGTGTTTGCATTTCCACTAGAGCTAAGATTTATACTTATTTTCACCCAGAGTGCACTTTCAAATAGCAACGACAAGCATTTTCGTAAATCAAAGCTAATAAAACTCATCATTTATTACAGGTAAAAAAATAAAAAATAAAAATCCTACAATAACCCATCCAATTAGCTAGTTACTGTGTATAAATCTTAAATTTCTTGTGTAAGCTAAGCTACTATATATGGCACACAACAAGCCACCATCACCACCCTATAAAGTAAAAATTGTTTATTTTTTCATTTGTCTTTACTTGAATTTGAAGAGAGATTAATGAAGGATGAAGTATCAGCATGAACGACCAAACTGGGGATCAGCTGATGAGGTTGGGCATCTGGGTTTTGGGTTCCGACATGGTACGAGGAAATGAAAGGAGGATTATAGTAATCAACGAAACTGTTGTCACGCCTGCTAAAGGACACTGACGTTTTGTTGAGCGGTTGTTTTGAGGTTGATGACGAGGAGGATCCACACTGTCTGGGCTGCGTTTGGTAGAACACTTTGGACACCACCAACTCTCCATCTTTCTCCTCTTCGTCCTGCCCGAGGTGGTACTGGTGCATTACCCAATTTGTCTTCTCCGGTTTCCTTTGCCTGCCGTAGTTGGTGTACAGAACCAGGATCTTTTTGTACCCTCTCAGATTAGCTTCCCCAAACACTGCCCTAGTCTTGCCGGTTTTATGCCACCTTGTCTCGCCACCGTCGGCATCCGTGTGCACCTTCCGCCGCTTTCTTGTCCCTGTGGTGTACGCTCTCGACGGCCGGTGAAAGAAATGCCGGACCTGCCCATCCTTGTTCACCCCTGCATGCATGCACCATTCTTGCTTTTAATTTTAGCCATTCACCGTATAATATATAAAAATATAAATATACACTCTTGACAGATAATACATAGACACAAAGTAATTCGCAACCACAATATTACAAATTCCACCTCAAAAAAAAAAAATTATAAATACCTTCAGTCAAACGGAGCGAGTAATATAATATTTATTTGTACTGAAGCATATATATATATATATATATATATATATATATATATATATATATATATATATAATGGGGTTGGGGTGGATGAGGGGGGCAACTGCATGCCCCCATTATCCCCCGATGGATCTGCCCTTGCTAGTGAGATCGAAATATTGGTCTACTTAGTTTCAGACTTTCAGCCAATCAATTATAAATAATCTATGTTGGTTTATTTTTTTGTAATAAGATCACAAGGTGGGATATAACTTAAATTGATTTATCTCTTTATAATAAAGTTACAAAACACGAGTTTTACTTAGTGTACACATTCAAGTAACAGCGGTTTTAGTCAAACATATAATTAAAAGAATTAAACCCAAAATGAAAATGAAAATATGTGTCAAAGTTTGAACCGTTCGGGAGTTGTGACAATAGCCCAACACCCTACAAGTAGACATCAAGATTGACCATCTTAGGAACTTGCAGCAGGTTATTCCTTCAACATGGATTTGAGTACGTAAAAAGCAATCTCAGAACCACAATATTTTACGTTATCCAAACCGCGAAACATGCGAGCATCATCCGCCATAATATACATAAACAAATTGAGGGAAGACACAAGGCTTTAAGGAACAATTGATAGCATTTTGCAAGCAAGAAATACTCATTTGGAAAACACCTGAAATTTGTTGGTTTAATTGACGTATGTATGATATGTCCATCGCAATGTTTTCATTTTCTTCACGAATTGAAATTCTCATATACTATTTAGAGGATTCCACGACATGCAAACCCAAGAAACAAAAAGTAAAAGGAAGCATATCTGCATATATAGCAATTTTTTTATTTTTTTTTGTCCGTTTTAAAACTCATTTTCTGACAAATACATTTGGATAATTTTAGTTTTTAATGAATGTATCAATTATATGTGTCTTTAGTTTATGAAATGGATCATGTAGACCAAAAATTTTCACCATTTGATGTGGTAGTATAAATATGTATTTAATTAATAAATAATTTTTTTTTAACCAGAAAGCGATCAACCAATTTATGATAACTAATAAATAAAAAAGAATTTCATTGTCACATCATATGGTGAAAATTTTGTTGGTCCAAATAGCAATACCCTTATGAAATTGTGCATCTCAAGTGTATATATGCATAGAATTTTGCATTAGTTACACCTATATATTATACTACTCTCAGTAAAAATATAATACTAATTGATCGATAACATACAACCTTCTGTTTAAAATGATTTTTTCTTATTTGTTACATTTCTTTAATCATTCTTATAATTTTAAAGTTTGATTTTAGTATCCTTCCGAATATCTCTTTTGGGACATTATCTTATTTATTTAGAAATATTATTTGTATTGAAGTTTTAGTGATAGTTAATTGTTACATGCATTATTTTTTTTTTTTAACACGTTAAATGCATTATCTTTTAACTATTTGTAATAGAGGGATGGATGCAATTGTAGATGGTGAATTAGGGGGGGAAAAAATTAAAGGACTTAAAAAAAAAAAAGTAGAGTGAAATAGAAAAAAGTATACCAAATATCAAAATTACCCTCAGTGATATTTTAATTACCACACCATTATTATACCTTTTTTCATTATCCCTTAATCAAAAGGTTTAACACAAGAAAAGTAGTTGCACTTGTAGATTTTGATATGTCTCTTGCCCTAATAAGATATATTCGAATATAATATTTGTTCCGTATTGCATATAATAATTAAGAAAATATAAAAATTGCATCTCCTTTTTTTTTTTTTTTTTTTTTTTTTTGAATTAACTAATTTCTTCAATTATTTTGAAAAATAATTTTACCTGGGAGTTTCTCTGGATGAGTATAGCAAATCCCATTTTCACCTTCAATTGTGGGAATGAATTCATCAATAAGAGGATGAAGTTTCCGGCTGTCGGAAACAGACTTCGCCTGCAAATGCTCCAGAATTTCTTGATCGGAAGGATCAAACTTCACGCCGGCGGGTAGACCAGGCAAATCATGTATCCCCTTCATGTTCAAATTTTATTTTCAAATTAAATATGCATCTATAATTTTCCTGTTGAGTTAATTCTGAATTTAGTCCTCTGATATTACTCATTTTCAATTTTAGTCATTGACTTTTAAAACAATCAAATTTAGTACTTGAGTATTAAATTCTTTCTGATTGTGATTCATGATAATTTTTTTTCCTATGTGAATGTTTAATATTGATGGTGAAATTAGAGCAACTAGAAAAAGAAAGTTAAGACTTTAATTTGTATTTTGGGTATAAGAAATAATTGCCACAAGATCAAAATTTTTCAATTTTACTCTCAATATTAACAATTAGAAAAGTTAACGACACATTACAATTAAAAATAATTCAATGCTTAAAAATTAAATTTGATAATTTTAAAAGTTAAAGAACTAAAATTGAAAACAAGTACGGAATTAACTCTTTCCATGCAATATTTATACCTGACTTTCAAGTTGTATGCTATGGCCACATGAAGGGCAAGTCACGCTGCGAATTCTGGAGTCGAACTTCGACGTCGCGACGGCGGCGGAGTTGTTACACCATGTCATATCTGTTGCCGGAGCCGACCTATGCCCATCGCCAACTGAGTTAATTTCTCTTCTCTCCAGCTTAAAGCCTCTTCTTCCTGGGCCTCCCAGAAGCTGAAATATAATGAAAATTTAGGGAGAAAAAAGATAATATTTTTTTAAAAAAAAATAAAAAATAAAAAATGGTACGACTGTAGAAGCACGTTTTAGAGGTAACAAAATCTTTTCTTAAACTTCTTGATTGGTGTTGATGGTGGGAAGGAATTGAATTCCCCTATCTTTTCTGTTTCTCTTTTTCTTGATTGAACAGATCCTGTTTATAATAGAGAGGAAGGAAAGGAGGGTGGAATTTTGCTTGCTATTCTGTGAAAGGAACAAGAGGAATGTATGAATATATTTTTCCTGTTTCCAGATTTTATTTTTAATAAATACTATTTAAAAAAAAAACAATTTAGGTTGCTTGGACGTCAAGTTTGGTTTTGTTTATGTGTATATACACATGTACCAGAATAAATGCAGTTTTGGACTTTCATCACACTTTTGTCTACTATTCTTTGATACTTTCTAATTTCTTTAATTAACAAAGCCAATAAAACGCTTATATGATAACGCGTATCTGCTACTGTTAATTGTCAAACAAAATCATCTTCTCCTCACGTAGAAACTTTTTCTAATTTTTGTTTGAACAACTACTCCTAGAAGTTAATGAATCTGGGAACTTTTTATTTATTTGTTAATGTTTTCATGTGGGGGTGGGGGTAAGTAAACTAAAAATAGTTGGTAAAACCTAATGTGTTTTTATGTTGAAAACCTAATAATAATATATGTGTAAAGAAAACAGTAGGAACGTAGTAGTGGTTATATATATATGTAGAGTGGAGATGGGGCAAAGAGAGGGATTCTTGAAGGACGTTTCACCTCTTTTAGCCACAAGCTAAGATACATCTACAGTGCTTGAGCTTTAGCTGCAGTGTCAACCTAGAGTGCTTCTAAAGTTATATTCACTCTTACTAAAATATATATTCCTCTGTAAAATAGGGTTGGTATTATACCATACATATGCTATACGTTCCAACAAATGTGAAAGTAACAATTCTTGTATAATTAAATAGGGTTGGTATTATATATAGAATACGTATATTCATTGTTATTTATGTAATTGAAAGAGTAGTGTTAAATCTAGTAATTTGGTTCGTTGTTTAGATACTAATACAACTATAAAGTCAGAAGTTTTGGTACGGTGTTTGTACATTTGTAACATGTTAAAGAGTTTTGACTTAAGTCTTTCTTTTAAGTAAGAGTTAAGCTATATGCCTAACGTGTGCTAATGATATGTTATAATCACAATATTGGGTATTTTTTAAAAAAAATCCGATATAATTCCTTTACACACTACTGGAAATTCTGAAATTTCCGACCACCTGAAAATGATCTTAAATTAAATTGATACCAAAAAGTCCAAAAAGTGGTCGGAAATAGCAACAAAGGTTTTTCCGGATACCAAAAGTGGTCGGAACAAGACTTTCAACTTGATTTATGATCACTTTCAGGTGGTCGGAAATTTCAGAATTTCCAGTAGTGACACAAAATGTATTGAAAATGTGAGGACCAATAAATCGTAAGTAAATATGGGATGTACCCAAAGAGTATTGTAGTGTTTCAAAATAAGCTAGTAGCTTCTTAACTTTTTTTCATGTCCTTATTATTTTAAAATGACATCATTTATCCTTCCCAATTAAAATATGCAACTTTCACCGCAATTATTATTATTATTATTATTATTATTATTATTATTATTATTATTATTATTATTAGATGAAGGAGATTCACAATAATATTTCTACTTCATTATGGGATGCTAAATCATGATTATGCTAATAATTTTATTTCAAAATGTTAATTTTTTTAAAGACAAAATGTTAAATTTTAATATATAAACAAATTAATTTAAATTTTATGAAGATGTCCTATTTTGTCTTTTTATATTTATCAATTTATCAAAAAGCTAATTTTACCAAACACTTTCAAGCATAACAGCTAGTTTAACAGCTCTTCAGTTTTTAGCTCCTAGCTTATAACTTTTCAGTTTTCAGCTCATTTTAAACTTTCAGCTACCTTTTCATCTAGATTTGCCAAACATAGCCTATATATTATGGATGACAAAGAAAACATGTAATTATTACTACTTAATTGTTTGCACTACTGAGGTATACAATTACCCATCAAGTATTATATATATTGGGTGTCGAACTCAACTTAGAGATCGGATTGTAAGAATCAAACTCATGACATTTATATATGAAAGTCATATTTCACCCACAATGTATAAATATGACTTGCATTTGGTAGCATGCGGCGCAACCATAGTGCCCAGTCAGACGCGTTAATTTGATGTTTTTTTTTTCCAGATTTGTTTTGTCTTTTTTTTTTTCTTTTCTTTTCTCTTCTCTCCCATCTTCTATTTCTTAGTTACACGTGTAAAAACTTCTCAAAAACTACGATTATTGGTAATGCTCAGATACTAACAAGGGGATGAGAGCAAGGAGAAATTTCTGGGAATGCTTTTAGTTTTACATTATAAAAACTTGTACGCCAGCCGACATTATGTGATTGGATAATAGCATAGGTTGTCTATTCGGTTCACGTTGGAATGTAGTATCCCTATCCCAGCTTCTTAAGGAAGCTACGCAACTTCAATCTTATCCAGGAAGGAAGCTAGCTTTACAAATGGACTTTGGATATCAATCCGATCATGTGAGTCTTTTATTTCATTATTTTTGGGTTGAAATTTATTGCCAAATAATACCGTATTTCTGTTTATAGAAAAAAGCATTCAATCCCCTTATTTTCCTCACTTCTTTGTCAATGTTCCGTTCTTACGGAGTTTGATTAGTTCGCGTTATAATAATTCAATTTCAAATTAATTTCAAACATTTTTTTTTCGTGTTTAATTTATATTTATATACGTAGAATTAAATTTATTTTTGCTTCCAATAGGAACAAAATTTTTGACCTACCCATGCAAGTGAATAATCTTAATGTGCAAGGAACTTTTTTTTTTTTAACATATACCTATGGTAGCCTGGTCACCGAACATAAAAGAATTAAATCTAGACCGATAAAAAAATTATTAAAAAAGTAAAGGTAGTTGATGGTAAATGGTAGATGGATCAAAATTGCACATGTTCTGATAAATTGGAGAGTAATTCTGCAATGGACTAAAACAACTAAACTAGAATAACTAACCTACTACAATTACTTGTTTTTCCTTGAAGTTTTCACAAAATTTTAAAATGCTTAAAATTCAAAGAAGTATTGATTTAGATAATTGAAAATTGTACCTGCAACCATACTCATCAGTAATGTGCATTGAGTAAACTTTTATACAAAAAGAATAAACTGCACTAGGAAGATCATGTATGTGTGAGTAAGTGTGACAAGCATGATTGAATGGGTGTTGACAAAAAATTGAAGTCATGACCTTCTAAGTACGAGAATCATATTTCATCCATTTAGTCACCCTTTCGGGGTTACGAGAGATTTTTTAAAGAAAAATTATAATCAAATTTTGGGTAGGAGATGAACTAAATAAATAAATAAAACTTTATTATTTAACCTAGTGCAGTTTAAGACGTACGTTTATTGTAGCTTCATTGCGTGTAAAGTTGATTGCATTGTGTCAACAGTACCCAAAGTTTCTTCTTGATTTGATCCATCATATTAAGTCAGTAAACTCGGATTAGACTTTTTGTGCACAGAAGCAGGGCCGTCCTTGGGCAAGTTTGCCCAGGGGTGGCGCACAGGGCCCCCAAATTTTGGGGGCCCCTTAATTAAAAAAAAAAAAAAACAAAGTATATATATATATATATTAGGCTTTAGGCGGTGGAAGACTACAAACAAAGCCCAAACCTTTCTTTAGAAAAAACAAAGCAGACATATTAAATAACCTATTAAATATTAGTATATTACCCTAAATCCCTAATCTTAAATATTACGGAGTAGTATATTACTCTAATCTAAAGACTAAACAGCCTAAACTACGACAAATAGAAAGAGAGACCGCATAGGCGCATACGAAAGAGTGAAAGACGATTGACGTGAAGCAGCTAGCCTAGGTATTTAAACTTTTATTTTTTAATTTGAGGGTGCTATTTGTGAATTTTATGTATTTGAATTAATTCAAATATTGAAATATTTAATTTGAATATTTAATTTTAATGTTTGTGTATTTGAACTAAATTAGGAAATTTAAATTTGGGAAAGCCGACTTATTCTACTCGTGTGCTACTGATTCTTCAATTCTCAAACTCTCAAGTTCTTCAATTCTCCTGATAGGTAATTAAAATTACGTATTATTTTACAATTCTTGTTTATTGATTTATTTACATGACTTAATAATTTTGATTTCAGAATAATATATTCAAAAATTCGTTTCTTGATTAATTATTTATTCATAGAGTTTCTAAATAAATTTTTATTTTTTTCTTAGGATTTTATGTCTTCTAGCTAGAAAATATATTCATCTGCGTTTGAGAAGCGTAAAAAGTAAAAAAGAATTGAGCAACTAACCCAATCTCAAAAGGGGGCCTCTTGAAAAATTTATAGGAGCAGTGAGTATATTGAATTCATTGAAACGGTTGGGTTGTTTTCCAAATGCTACTATTACATATCGAATATTATTGACTATCCCAATTACTGTTGCCTCTGTAGAAAGGAGTTTTTCAAAGTTGAAATTGTTGAAATCTTACTTACGATCAAGTATGTTACAAGAGACTCAATGGATTAGCTTTAATCTCTATTGAAAATGACATTTTGGAAGAAGTTGATATCAAAAGTTTGGTGGATGATTTTGCGTCTAAGTGTGCACGATGCATGTCACTTTTTAAATGAAATTTTAGATGTATTTTTTATACAATATTTATATTTTAAAATTTTAACACAACTTTTTGAAAAATTATTATTTATATATAAAAATTACTTGAAAAGGGGGCCCAAATCAAAATATTGCACAGGACCCCAATTTTTATTGGAACGGCCCTGCACAGAAGTGTACGTATAATCCAATGTTAAGTCTCAATGTTAAATTTGTTTAGTTTATCTATTTTATGAATCTCGGAGACAGATTCATGAAGTTCAAGATATAATCTAGTGAAACCAGAAATCTAAATTTTAAAAAATAAATAAATAAGTAGCTAGACTCAACATTCTTGGTCCTTCATGACTAAAGTGCATGTAAACTTACGACTAGAAAAATTGTCCAACAAAACCTTAGCTTGTAAACTAACAAAAGACTGATGTATTCAAATTTCAAAGTCTAATTTAAGGTAAGATATTCTTTGATCCCTTCGTTACAAATGTATGGATTGTGCAAATTAAATTCAAAATTTATA